CTCCCGAGAAAAAGGGAGAGCTTTTGGGACTCTACTCCTATCCAGGAGTACTCACCTCGACCCCTTCTCCCGGGGCACAAGGTTCCAAGCCGCTGAACAGCTGCTGACCGCTGTTCATGCTGGCTCTGACGCCTTCCCAAGCGGACGGCTCCGAAAAGAGCCGCCATCGGCGCGCCGTCCCACCGGAAGTCCCCAAAGTTGGAATTGATTGATTGAACTTTTTAGTCCCACCCAGTCTGCCGTTACCACCGCAGCCACACCCACCCAATGGGCCACACCCACCCGGCACCTGACGATGCATAAGTGGGTTCTGGGTTGCAGTTTGGGCACTCGGTCTCTAAAAGGTTCACCATCACTGACCTAGAATATACAAATATATGGTGCTGTGCTAAATATAAAAATCCATAAAATTCTGCACTGGATAGATCTTTATTATGAAATACGCAGTCCCAAAACAATATTTCATCAGTGTTTAAGTGTTTTGGTGCTATTAAAGGACTCTGAATTTCAGTTCAAAATATGTTTGCCTTCTAGAATGAACCCCATAATCCCCTGCATGCAAATAATACCTCTGCATATGGAGTCCTTAAGATTGGAGAAATGTAAAACAAAACCTGAAGTTAGACTTTGTGCTTATTATCCCACAAAAGAGCAATTTGATTTTAAGATCCACATTCTCAAAATAGTTTTTTGGACAATACATTCATATTATATGTAGGTAAGCTGCTCAAAGTCTTTACAAATGGAGTGGTAGATAAGCCAAAATCATCTGCGATGCCACTGAAGTGCTTTATTAATGCTGTGGAGGTCTGGTTCAGCCCTGACAAAACTGAGTGAGTATGGGGTTTAGAGTCCCAGTATCCAGTGATTTTCTAAGGATAACTCTGAGTAGGGTCCTGCTCCCAAGGATAGAGTTAATGTACAGTCTGAAAGTTCTAGATTCACAGCATATACTTGGGGAGCAGGTGACAATTGTCCAGGAGGACATTTGCACAATTACATGTGCACTATAGTCGTGCCTATTCCCAAATCAAGAAGCACTACTTAGTGGCCACTCATGCCTTAAGTCACTTCCTAATTGGACTATAGCAATACAGTTGAAGATGCAGGTTGTACCTTTAAAGACTTGCATGCATGAAACCAGGATGCAAGACTGTCTATCTCCAATAGTTTCTGCCTATCCCACTAGATCAGACTGAGTGGACCTGCCCCAGAACCTATCCATGAGACAATGTCACCTGGTGGGACCCAGGAAGTATGCCTTGCTGGTCATGGTACTCTCTCATGGAGAAGTTTCAAAGGGATGTGAAGACCTGGCTCTTTCCCCAGACTTGGGCAGGAATATCAGTTGAGCTGATGGAGTAGTTTCATTCCTTATAAATTATATAGTAAATTATTATTTTCTGGCAATCTGGAGTCACAACTGCCAGTTGTTTAGTTGGTGTTGGCTTCACGTGCATCAAGTTTTTCCAAAGAACCTAGGAAGTTGTAACGTATTGTGCAGACACAAGCAGTGTGCCTTTTGCAATTGACAGATGGAAATTTTGTTAATGTGCAGATTTTATAAGTGTTGCCCAAGATGTTTTGGTATGGCACTTGTATTATTATGGTTCATTGCATAGTTTAAATTGGATTTGGCATTTTTATCCACCTATCGAGTCCTTCCTAAGAACTTGGGATAGGCAGATGTTTTTGCTGGAGGATGTCAAAGCTGTTCCAGGTAAAGCTGTCTTCTACAATTGACGGTGATTCTGTCAGTGCCAATGAAGTTCAAGTGGTGCTCCAAATGTTTTGGGATTGCACCCAAGGGACCTATTACAGTTGGTATTATCATTGCTTTCTTTTGCTGTAGTTGTTCTAGAGCAGGGGTGTCAAACTGCCGGCCCACGGGCCAGATGCATCATGCCAAAACCGCACCCACCCCATTGCCGGCAATGGAAAAAAAGTCACGATACATCACGTGACATTGCAAGTTTGACACCCCTGTTCTAGAGGTATTTGTGATTTTCTCCAGTTCTTTCTCTTCTATCTTGCTGTCTCCAGATACTGCTCCACTCACTATCCATACCTTTTTGTCTTTCATAAATGGTTCTTTAGTCTGGCATGTTACGTGGCAGATGCCTGGCTGTTTGAATTCTAAAGTTCCAAAGCACTTTAGCTTCTTCATTTTCTATTACTCTGTCTACTTTATGGTCTCACCAGTTCTTGCTTGCAGGCAGATTGCATTTCTTGCAAATATTCCAATGCATCATTGTTGCTATTTTTGTCATGCCATTGTTTGTAAGCAGTCTGTGTGATCTACTTGCAGCAGTTAACTAGGCGGTCCACTATTTCTTCAACTTCTCTGCAGAGATGGCATTTGTTCTCTGTTGCTATCTTCTTAATCCTGGCTTTGCACACATATATTCTTAAGCCTCGGTCTCGTGTAGCCAGAATCAGCCTTCTCTATCTCTTTCTTCGATTTTCCTGCTCTTAGCCATTACCAGGTCTTGTTATCTGCATTGCTTGTTTGTTTTTTTAAATGTACTGGCCATGTAATGCTTTGCCTTGTCATGTCTCCTTTTCTATTCTTTATTTGGTCTTTCTTGCAAGCTAGTTTGGTTTCACTAATAGTAAGACTTCCTGGTATATTAGCTTCAATGCATCTTCTTCATATCCTTCAGATATTCTTCCAGTATCCTTTTTTTTTCTTCTTCTTCTTCTTCAACTATCTGGTGTACTTGCAACATTCCATGCCCTCCTATTTTCCTTGGTAAGTAGAGTCTGTCGATGTCACAGGGTGGATGAAGGGCATAATTCATTGTCATTTTTCTGGTTTTCCTATTGAGACTTTTAGTTCTACTTGAGTGCGGTCCATTATTTCAGCAATGTATCTAATGACTGGAATTGCCTAGGTGTTAATTGCCTTATTTATTTGTTTGTACCCCATCTTTATTATGTTTTACAACTAACTCAATGCGGTGAACATATCCAACACATCTTCCTCCTCCTGTTTCCCCATAACAATGCTGTGAAGTGGGTTGAGCTGAGAGTGAGTGAGTGGCCCAAACAACGCAGCTGGCTTTCATGACTAAGGTGGGACTTGAAGACATGGTCTCCCACTTTCTAGCTTTTTGCCTTAACTACTAGAGCTTTTCCTCCACTGAGTTTGGACTTCTTTGCTCTTATGATATATTCACTTCTAAGCTTCCTCATCACTTCTTTGTTCTTGAAGTTGTCAGCTTGAAGGGTGGCACATTTGTCCAGTCCAAATTCCACTGCAGAGCTTTAGCTGTATGTACAGACAGCACTGAGCAATGATTCTGTTATAACTTCTAATTTATTATTTTGATAATATCCATAGTCCCAGTCCAGTTTCTTTTGAACTGAATTTGTATATTTTGGTTATGTTTTATTTCTGTTCACTTTCCAGAATATCTTGAGTAGATGGGCAGCTATACTGTATAAATTTGTTAAAGAAAACCTTGTATAAGAAACCATATACTAATTAATCTATTTCAATGGAGGCAGCAATGATGCTTCTCCACATTCCAGTCCACTCCCCATGAAAAGATGATAGAAAAATCTAATTTGGTACCCAAATAACAGTCATTCAGGGAAACTTGACAACAATTAATTAGAGCAGCATGCATAGAAAAACAAATATTACTCCCTTTACCTTTCTGCCTGACCACCTTGGCCTTATTAAACATTGGTTGCTGTCTGGTGGACCATTTTAAAACTCTCTATATGAGCAGACACCTGCTTTTAAAACAGAGATGGCTTAAGCCATCATCTCTCATGGCCCCAAGTGTCAAATAATGAAATTACAGATCTAATCAAGTAGTTTAATCTTGGCAACGCACCACAGACTTTGTCTTAGCTGGACAAAGTTGGCTCCGGTACTCACTTCTTTGCTTACATTTATTGATTGTAAATGTGGTTTCTAAAGATTAGAACTTGCCTTAATAACTTAATTACCAAGAATATTCAACCTCATCAACAACTGTCTTTTCCTCTTGATCCTTGTGGGAACGAAAAACCCTGCCAGAACACTTTGAAAAAGTCCCTGGAAACCAGAAAACCTTGGACAGAAAGGTGAAACAATTGTGAGCACAATAACTGGAAGCACAACTAAGCTAAGATATTTTTGCAAGTATGTATTTTATGCTCTTCATGAAAATGAAACTGTTCCCAACCTCACAAGTGTAACGTGGTGAAAATGTTTGAAGTGATGTAATGTGAAAAGCAATTCTAAAAAATGGCTATAATTATGCAAGCTGCAGATCACATCTTTTTACAACAGTCATTAAGCAAATCATGACATTAAGTAAATTATGTAGTTGTAAGTCCAAACCCAGTTTGGTCATTTTTTTTTGGGAAAGCAGCAAAAAAAAAAAGATCACAAAATGCTATCACATGGCCATGGGATGCTGTTACTGGTCATAAATGCAAGCCAGTTGCCAAACATCCAAAATACAATCACATGACCGGGAGTGATAACTGCATGGACAAGTCATAAGTACATTATTAACTTTGGTTGTTAAGTGACTGGTCATACGCTGAGGACTACCTATACATCTCTCTTTGATAACCCATGTCACTCATCCAAGGAAGCCCCATCCTTATCCCATGCCTTTTTTCTGAAACAATTTTTTTTCTTCTTTCAAATGTTATGTCTCCTTTTGCTTTTGCCTGTATTTACTGAGGAAGTTATATTCATCGGCCAGCTGACTGAAAGAGAATTGTATGGGCAATTAGCCCATCTATCTTATGACCATATACAGTTTTTCAGTTATTTCTTCAAAAATAATTGACAGATTGCTATCCTTTGATGGCTCACCTGATTTAATTCTTTTTATTTCTCTTTATTATTTCTTTAATTCTCTTTAACAATGAGTAAATCAAGAAGTCCTTATAGGACACTCAACTTAATTCCAAATAAGGAAACAAAAAATAGATTAGTTTCACATTATACTCATAAAGTACTTCCATTGCAACAGAGAGAGGGAGGGAGGGAGATGTTGCATGGAAGTTTTTGATCCAAGTATTGGGGCAAGGAGAAGGGAAGACATGAGCTGACAAGAATTCATGATCAGATCTATCACAGGACATGCCTCTGGGCTCTAAATATATGCACATCATTACCAGGGTCATAGAGCACTTCATGCACTGTAAAACGTTCTCTAAGCATCTTCAGGAAATTCTGGTCCCGCTCATAACGGAGGCGGCATGATAACAGGATCACAGTCTCATCAGAGCAGAGATAATCCAGTGTTTGAAGAAGATCTGCAAATGTTTCTTCCAGATAAACTATGTCTGCGCCCAAGATAATATCATATTCTCCCGGAGAAAAGTCTGCCAAATGTTGTCCCCAGGTAAGTTCCTTTATTGCTGCTCTTGACTGAAGGTTGACAGGTAAATTAGTTTGCACATTTGACTCAAGTAAAGGTAATGTTGGCTTTCGGTCTGTGATTGTAACTTGAGCACCTAAAGAAGAGTTAAATATGAAATGAATTAAATCTTTTACAGAGCAGATTTTAGGGGAAAGAAATAAGAAAAATTCCCATGCATAAAACAAACATATGGATAACACTTAATGTAGCCCAAACTATCCACAACTAAATGATCTAATATTCAAAGAAAACAGAAGTCCCTGTATATTTTTCTCCCTGGCTCATTCAATTGCTGTGCCAATTTAATTAATACTTTTACATAAAACATAAGGAAATGGATGATGATATCCTTCATGAAGAAAATCTTATTTAACCAATGCTATGGTGTTAAACTATAAAGCAATTATTCTTGCTAGCTTTTCCACCCTGGGCAATAATCAGTTGTGGGGACTTCCATCTCCAGTATTCTCAACAATGGTCATGCTGGCTATGGAATTTGGGGGAATTAAAAGACCAAACTTCTGGAAGGTACCAGATGATGAAGATTGTTCTAGGCATATATTTTAAACTGACACGGACAAAGTTATGAAAGATTTAATTATTCCAACCTTCTTCAAAGAGATTATTTTTATTTAAAAACTAGATTTATTGTTGGGGGTTACAAAAGCTGATGACAGAAATCTTTTCTACTAGACATGAAACATGGAGTACTGTAAAGAGAATCCTTATTAGAATAAATCTGCTGAAAAAACTGATAAAGTTAAGAAATATTCTAAATGAGTGTGCTTATCCTTCATGTTCCATTAAAGCTAAAAGCTAAAAGGAAAGTATACCATTTGAAACCCTGTTAGATGCCAAAATGAATTGCTAGTCTACAGTGGCTCCAGTTTCCAGAGTAACTTACCAAGTAACACAGCTACAATTCCAAGGAGGCCTGTCCCAGCTCCTAACTCAATCACCCTGCGTCCCTGCAGATCAATGCCTCCCGTCTCCAGGAAAGTGCACAAAACTACCGCCTAGGTCAAGAGAAAAAAAAATTCTAAGAATACTGATACAGATCCAGTCAGAAATAGCACCTGTTACCCATATAAGAAGCTTGTAAAAATGTTTTAAGAAAAAAATGTCATTTTTAAGTCTCCAAGTGAAAGTCTTTCTTTTGGAGCTTTTAAATGTGCATACTGGTATCTATCTAGTTTTTATTTTTGAAGAGTGAAAGGTAGAAACAGCCCAATTGAAATGAGAACACAGGCAGAAGTCACCTTCCCAGTGAGTAAGGGGAGGGCTAAGGGTATTGTCATCTATTCCTGCGCTCCTGGCGTACAGGTAGTCCTTGACTTATGACCAATTTATTGAACAACTGTTCCAAGTCACGGTGGTGCTCAAAAATGTGACTTACAGCTAGTCCTCACTTTCCTGCAGCCACGTGATCAAAATTTGGGCACTTGACAAATGGCATGTATTTACAGTGGTTGCAGCATCCTGGGAGTAACATAATGATTATTTGTGACCTTCCAAGAGAGCTTCCAACAAACAAAGGGGAAAATAAGATTCACTTAACGACTGGGGCAAAAAAGGTCATAAATTAGACACAACTTATTTAATGACTACTTCATTTAGTGATGGAGTTCCAGTCCCAATTGTGGTCATAAGTCAAAGGCTACCTGTAGTAAGTGGTGTGCTCTTGCACTGAGGTAAGTAAAAAATGCGAATGACCTGACTTCCTTATTACATTTTGACAGAGCATGATTAAGTATAAGCATATACTGGAGGCTTGGGTTATTCAAGCAAGTTTTTTTCAGGAAAGGGTGAATTTATACAAAAAAATCATCTTCCTTTCCTTATCATTACTACTTTCTAGCGGGACAATTGAAAACATTCTGTCGTATTGTATTACTGTGTGATTTGGAGGCATTACTGTTTCGGACAGGAAGGCTGTGCAGAGAGTGGCGAGGACGGCAGAAAAGATTATTGGAAGTTCATTTCCTTCTATCCAGGACATAGCATATAAGCGATGCCTCTCCATGACTCTTTTTCTTAGTTACCTTCTGGGAGGAGGCTTTGCAGTATCTGAAGTAGAACAACTAGATTCTGTAATAGCTTTGTACCATATAGTATCAATCTTGTTAACTCTCAATACTCTTTTTTTCTGCTATGTATTCTAAATGGTCTGTGATATCATATATATTATATGTACGTATGTATGTATGTATATGAATTTATGTGTATGTATATATGTTTGTGTGTGTATATGCATATGTGTGTGGGTGTGGGTGTGTATATCTATATTGTATATTTGAGAGCGGGCATCAGAATTTCATTTTTTTAATGTGTGCCAGTGTGTTCACAGAAAAAAGTAACAATAAAGGCTATCTTATCTTAAAATTATAGTGATATGTAAGGAATATTTTTAAAAATTTCCAAAGTGACCAAAAGTTATCCTTAGTACAGTTCTACCTGATCTCTTTTTAAATGGATATCTCTGAAGACCAAACAATTCAGTGCTCAGAAAGCACTGATACCAGTTTTACCATTTTCTTTCATACCCAAATAAACAATTTTAACAAGGCAGCAAGAATATAAATGAGAATATTCTGTAAGGTTGCAATCCTAAATCCATTAATAGGAAAAAAGCCCCTATAACAGCATAGAAATTCTAGTAAATATATACTGTATCTTTTTTATTTTCAATCTTTAAAGAACTATTTTTGAGCAATAGAAAATATTGACACTTATTAGCCAAGCATCAACACTAGATGTTACAATTGTCAGAAAATTGTCAGTTTCTGTAACGATGTTATTATGACAAGTTAAGCAGATGACAAACTGAGAACTATGAAAGAAACTTTAATGGACTACTAGCCACCACAAAGTAAACTACAGTATCTCTTGGAGAGCCATCTTTTGTATCATCATAATTAAATTATCTTTAAGGAGATAGATAACTTAAGCTTCTTTGCCTAAATATTTCACTATTTTTTAATAAAGCATCTTTTTCTTGTTTTATTTATTTTGAAATAACTCAAAACAGGAAACATACCTAATGCTCCTTCCTCCTCCTATTTTCCCCACAACAACAACTGTGTAAGGTGAGTGGGCTGAGGGTGTGTGACTGGCTCAATGTCACAGGACTAAAACTCACAGTCTCCCTGTGTCTATCTGAAGGAAGATATTTGGGGGCAAGTTATAGGGTCTGTTGTTGATCTCAGCTATTGGTGATTGCTGGCTGAAAATGAGTTAGAAACAGAGTCAGCTCCATGTTAGAGAAAGGCTTTTTAATCTAAGCACCAATTCAAGTGAGGAAAAACAATAGGAATCTCAATTAGGAATGTGCGAAATCTACCGTTCCATGAACAGTTACATACTAGTATTTTTCAGAACCTTTTATTGTGCAGATTGCAGGCATTCCTAGGATGGTTCAGTAGCCTTCCAGAAGTAGAAGTGGAACTGGAGGTGCTTCACAATAATCTGGATATGTGCAGGATTACATTACCATCCTGTCAAAAAATGTTGCCAGTGGAAATTTTGGATGGGATGGAAAGAAACAAGAGATAATAATCATGGTAGGAAGGAATGGAAAATCTACACCACCCTTCCACATTCTGATGCTTTTCCATTTTGGGCTGGATGGAAGTTGTAATCTAGCTAATTTGGAGAATGTCAAATTCCTTAGCAAAAAAACCTGGATGAACCACTCAGCCAGAGGCTCTCAGACACACAATATTATAAGGTTAGATAAGAACTGGATTGCCCACTAGGAAGAAGCTGTATAAAGCAGATAATTGCCATCTGCCATGGTGGTTAAATACAAATTCTCTCTTATTATCCCTAATCCTGGCAGTTCAAATCTGTTACCTATTTCTCTCCCTGTATAACTGACATCTCTTTCCTAGAAAGTATCGACTCCTGGCTTGACTCTTAGATGGTTGGAAAAATAAACAAGAAAGTTCTCCAAAGCATCTCCCTGCTTCAGTTAAGTAGGATATATCATTTTAGAATTCTGTCACTTTTGTTTTTGTTGAATGTAATAAACATTATGGCCATAGAGAGGACAGAAATATTAATTCAGTTGCTAACGGGCCCTGTCCAGTTTCTTCAGACCTCCTTAGTGAACCATTACAACTCTCCACAAATGAATCAATGCAAATTATACGCACCGCATCCCACACCACAGCAGCTACACCCAACTGCATCCAATTCTGCTTAATGTGAATTGTATGGTTGGCAAAACAGAATGTAGAGGAAGATTTATGTAACTTCTGCATTCCCCAAAGAGCCGTGCTGTCATAAGGAACCAAAGCCATCTTTTTGCCTATCAAACCAAGGAAAGATACAGAATTGAAAAACATCCCATGTGAAACCCATTCACAAGAATAAAGTTTTATTCTGTCCTTTATGTCACTATTACTCAATTTTTAGTTCAGATTCATTCCATTAGGGAGACAAAAAAACAACTGTACACTGAAAATTGAACTTCCAATTGTATTCTAGTGATGAGAACAAGGCCAATAAAAAATATACAGTATACAGTAAAGGTAATAATTTATGGCAATTGTCCAAATATGCTTATTGATATGTACTCTCATGTTGTGGATATTATGTTCAGCTGTTGACTAGTTTTCATATTCTAAAGAATGTATATTTTATTAATCTAATCATGCAATCAAACATGAACATTAAATCATTAAATCTTCTTCTTCTTCTTGTGCCATATCCATTATCGGACGCTGGCGATCCTGTTTTTATCAGCAGCCACACGAAAAAGTGCCGCTAAGTTTTGTCCAAACCAATCCCTTAGATTTTGAATTAAATATATGCATAATTAAATATATGCATAAATATATGCATAAATTTTTAAGGGCAGCACCCTACATGGTGCTGCCCTTAAAAAGCATTCAGAAGGGAAGGTCGTTGAGAATGCAGCAGCTCCAGCAGTTATGGGTATATCCATTTAATGTCACCACTGCAAGAATGCTAATTATCAATTAGCTTCTGGGCACAATTCAAGTTGTAGCTGACATCTTTAAAGCCTTTCATGACTCAGAACATGGATATCTAGGGGACCTCCTGTTCCCAGCAGATTGCCTCTCTTAAAGAATGTTAATTACAGATTTCCAAGAGTTGGTCCCTCTTGATTGCTGCCTACTTCTCTACAGCAGCATTCCGCTGAAGATTCAACATACCTTGACCTTATTGAGATTTAGGAAACCATTAAAACTTAGTTATTTTAACAGCGCTCTGAAGGATTCATTACTTGAGAGGGATTTTCCTGTGTAAAAACACATAACTCTATGGAGATATGATTTCTTATTCTAACATATTTTAATGCAAGGTAGGATTGTTAGCTACTCAAGAGTCAATTGATGGCTGGAGTGGCATATAAGCCTCATAAAATAAATATAAATGAAAAAAATATAAATAAAATGGGAACCATTTGACATTTACTCCAATTATGGAATCCTTGATGTTCTCTGAGCTTGGTTGTTTGCTTGCAGACATTTTGTTATCAGAGTTAACGTTAGAAGGTAGTGAGATTTGCTCTCTTTAGCTTGCCTTGTCAGGCATGTTATTTTCTCATTTCTCATTTATTTTTATTTTATAAAAAAGATACATGAAACCATCAACAATACCTTCAAATGAATGATTTAATAAGGAAAGAAGAAAACAACATCTTATCAGAATGCAACTAGCATGAGTGAAAATCACAGCTAGCAAACCGGCCAGAGTTAGAGAAAGTGCTCCCAATTCCCATTGCCAGTGAATTTCCAGGAACACTCAAACAGTACATACCTGATCCTTCAAAGGGTGGATGACTCTATCCTAAACTCTGCCAAACAGGGATAAATATAGCTGAACCTTGAGCTGCAGAGCTACATTCCAGCCGCCTCTCTACCATCCATTCCACAACTGATGCTGGCTTAGAATCCCCACTTCTTCCCTAGAATAATAAGATGGAAAGAAAAAAGAAAACATGTAGGGCTCATCCAACATTCCCATTCAGGTAACACAAAGGACAGAAAGCAACAGGGAATCTTAAGGCACCTATGAGCAATCTACAGCTATCTTCCCCCATGACACCTGGACCACAAATTAATATTCTACTTAGTGTTCTGGGTAAAACCTAGCCCATGTGGCTACTTTTATGTTTTGATGTATCTAAGGAACGTAGAGCATTTGGAAAACCGAATTAGTTATGGCTTGGTTAATCATAGGCAAGGGTGTCATGCAAATACCAGCTATCACGTTTTCTCACAGCTTTTGTTCTGCAAGAAAGGTGCAGCCAACTTTCCTTATTTGGCCATATTTCAATAATAGAAGAAGATGCAACTAGTAAAATTCTTCTTAACTTTAAAGATATAGACCTGCTTATTGAGATATGGTTTTCATCATTCAATCAATTTTAACTGCTATAGTTATTTTTTTTTTTTATTATTTTATTTTATTTTTTATTTTTATTTTTTGGATTTATATTTTTTGGATTTATAACCCCAAAGGGATAAAATGAAGCATATTAAGGATTCAGTAATATAAAAGAAACATAATACAGGTTGTCCTCAACTTATGACCACAATTGAGCCCAAATTTTATTTTGTTAAGTGAGACATTTGTTAAGTGAATTTTGCCCCATTTTACAACCTTTCCTGCCACAGTTGTTAAATGAATCACTGCAGTTGATAAGTTGGTAACATGGTTGTTAAGTGAAGCTGGCTTCCCCATAGATTTTGCTTGTCAAAAGGTTGCAAAAGGTGATCACATGACCTTGGGAAATAGCAATGGTCATAAGTATGAATCAATTGCCAAGCATCTGAATTTTGATCACATGATCATGGGGATGCTACAAAGGTTATAAATATGAAAAATGGTCATAAGTCACGGTTTTTAGTGTCATGATAACAGTCATTAAATGAATTGTTGAAAGTCGAGGACTACCTGTATTTGTGTAACTTTATGAATCCACATTACAAACAAACCAGAGGCAATTAACCAGTCTGGGATCCTAGTCCTGGGACCAGAACATAAATGCAGTTAATAAGATTGAAGCAGATTCTTTTTAAGATTTATACTCCAAAAGAACGTCCTGTAATTTTGCACACAATCAAATGTATGCATTTAAAGAATTGTATTATGCCTTTGAAAACAATTCATCATGACAGCACTCGAAAGGGTGATTTAGTCTTTTTAAAATGTAAAAAATTTAAAAACTAAAACAATATTTAAAATACAATGCACAAAACAACAAAAGCTCTGAAAACGGAAACAGATAGCACAAACATGTAAACAGTCAATATACTACTATATTCAAAGGACTTTTAGAATGAAACTTATGTGCAATAAAGCAGACTTGCCTGGTGCGCTCTGGAAAGAGAAAACGTCACGGACGGCCAAGTCCTGAAATACAGAAGAGTCGAGGTGGTTAAAGCGGAGTCGAGATACCTTCAAACTTCTGCAGTAGGTCTCTATTAAATTTGTTTTATTTGGCTTGGTGCGTTGCATTAACCTCTAATTGTAGTTTGCAAATTAGGCATTATGACCTGGTATTGGAAATCCCCTAATTGTGGTTTATGCAAAACACCGTGGTTTAGGGCAACACGTGAACTCCGCCTCAGACTGCCATAACTATCAGCTAAGAAATCGCCTAGGCTTGCAACCCCAGATTGATTTCCTTTTCTCTTGCTGTTTCCCTGCAAAGTTCTCCTCTCCCTCCTCCCCCCCCCCGCAACCTGTAGATGCTGCTGCTAACCCTAGGGAGGCAACCCCCCCCCGCGCCCAGCCTTCCTCATCCCTTCCTCACGCAACGCTGGCTCTACGAAGATCCTCCACTCGTCCCGGGCACGTGAGCACTGAAGCTCCACAGAGAAGCTAGCCAAGGGGAGGACGGCTATAGAGATACGAAGAGAAAAAAATGAAGGAACGCGCATGTCCCATAAAAATATGAAGGACACTCAGACAACGTTATGGACACAGGATGCTGCTGTTATACAACCTGACCTAAGATTTAGAGAATGTAATTTGCTTCGGAAGATGGAAACTAATTCAATGGATCCTTAGTCAAATGGTAAAAGGTATTTCTAGATTGTTTCTATCTCTATGAATACAGCCTCCTCTACTGTATTAACATTGCAGCGACAATATCCATCACTGGTCGGCGTACTGTGGCTTCAGTCTTTCTTTCGGTTTGCGTTGAGAACAAACGTAATATTTAGCCTTGTAGCCCAGGAGTCTTCAAACTTGGCCCTTTTATGACTGTGGACTTCAACTCCCAGAATTCCTCAGCAAGAATAGCCATTTGACCTTCCGTCTGTAAATCTTGGTTTAGTTTATTCCTATAAACTCCATTGCGGTAAGCTTGACTTTTGAGTAACCGTGATTTTTTTCTTTCTTTCGTTTAATCGTATCTGATTCTCAGAGACTATCTTCTAGAATCTAGACCAGGGATAGGCAACCTTGGCTCTTTTATGACTCGTGGACTTCAACTCCCAGAACTCCTGAGCCAGCATGGCTGGCTCAGGAATTCTGGGAATTGAAGTCCACGAGTCATAAAAGAGCCAAGGTTGCCTACCCCTGGTCTAGACAAATCCCTGCCGTTTTCTTGGCAAAGACCTAATTTGTCATTGCTTCCTTCCTAGGGCTGAGAGAGGCCAAGATTACACAGCATTGTGCCCAAGGCAGGACTAGAACTCACGATCCCCCAGTTTCTGGCCTACAGCAAAATGGTTCCCAAACTATGGTTAAGATTCCATAAATCACATCAGTTTCTAAAAGCTGGTCCCTTGTGCAAGTCATAATAAACCACGGATATTTATTTATGTATTGCTGCCAAATTCTACAGTTCAGGTTTGCTAGAAATTAAATCTAATTTGGATTTCTTGCATATATATGTGTCCATTTCACAAACTTTCATCAATTAGCATATGATAAAGTGATTTGTTAAGTATCAAGATGTAAGCACAATTTATAGAATACCTTAAACTAATCTGGCTAGTTAATATTATTTACTTACATCCATCCCAAAACCAGCATAGCTGCCATTTTCAGACACTCCTAAACTGCAGTTTGAAATCAGTATTTGTTCTTTTCACACTCCCTTTTAATGCTAACCAGAGACAATGGCTATTCTGGGTTTGAAAAGCATACTTAATCAATAATATGAACTATGAACTAACTGGGTGTCTGAAAGGAGGGGGAGGTGATGAAACTTGCATTAAGATGCAAATTCTTTCCATTATTATTTTCACATACTGTATTCTGATGCTAAAAGGACAGAACTTGCATCACGATGGAATAACACGCATCACTGCATGTTGGCATCACTGTTATTAGAAATGGCCACCTTAACTGCAGCCAGAGGAGATAGGAAAATTTTTAATGCATTCTCTCATGCTCACTTTCCTTTTTTTTTTTTTTTTTAAAAAAAATCACATTTAGGGTATTATAATTTTAAAAGTGAAATTTATTTTTTCCATGGTAGAAACTTAAAGTGGCTTAAGACCTGACCCAGGACACTTTTATTCATATTAACAAAATAAAAATATGTGGCAGAAGCTAAAAGAGGAACCCCCTCTTGAAAATAGAATTATTAACACACCTCCCCAATTGCTGAAAAACTCAATAAAACTGAATGCACAAGGGCAGAACAAGAAACAATGCATGTAAACTAATCAAGGAATCAACCTAGAAATAAGGAGAAATTTCCTGACAGACTGATTAATCAATGGAATAGCTTGCCTTCAGAAGTTATAGGTCCTCCATCATTGGAGGTTTTTAAGAAGAGACTGGATAGCCATTTGTCTGAAATAGTATAGTGAAATAGTATAGTGTCTGAAATAGTATAGTGTCCTCTGCTTGAGATGGGATGTAGGAGGAAAAAAAATCTCCAATTCGTTCCTTCCAGCTGGGACGATGCAATCAGCGCTGATGAATGAAATGAGAAGCCAGGAAGCAAGCTGCCGGAAAGATGGTTTTTATATTGGAAGCCAGAAAACTGCAGTGACAAGAGTTTTGTGTTCCGGGCCAGCTAACTGATCAGAAGAGTAGAATGACATTTTCAAACAGGCTGCAGTGTTACTAACTGCGGCCATGCCCAGCGTGTACATGCTCTCATCTTTGAGGTTAATGCTGGTTCCCCAGTCAAAGATGGTGGAGTATGTGGTTGTGAGTGAGAAAGCCCTAAGCTTGGTGTGGTTTAGTATGGCTTGTGGTCCCGAAGCTACCCACATCAGGCATGTGGTCAGAATGTCCTTTACAGATTTGCCCTCCACTAGGCAGAAGTCAGCTGTATTTAGGACTTCTCATGCTAGGTACTCCCAAATATTTCCCTTGTCAGGGAGTAGGTTGGGTTCTAGAAATCCCCCAGCATAGGTTACAAATGCAAATATACATTTTAACTACGTTCTTCCACCTGTCCCTTGCAATCCCTCCCATCATTTCCCACAGACGTAATGCCCACTCCTCGGTTTCAGGGCTCTTCCTGAGTCGCTGCTTTTGGTTCTGCACTGTGGCCAAGGACAGCTGACTTGATGTGAGTCCAATGAATCCAGATATCTCTCTCTGCAATTTTTACGGCAGTCTGGGTAGTTAGCAGGATTTGAAACGGTCCCTTCCACTTAGGCTGCAATGGTGTTTTCCTGGTGAATGATCTTATCCAGATCCAATCTACGGGTTCGAAAGGGTGGAGGGCTTCTTGTCTAGGTCAAAGCACTGTGCCTCCACAAATCACAAAGTCGCTAGTGTAAAGCTGCAAAATAAGAGGATAGAACCACATCCCCCCTTTCTAGGCTCAGTGAATGTGGATCCAAGCCTTTAAGGGTGTCAAGAGGTCAGCCAAAGAAGAGTTCAAATGGGGAGATGCCTTTGTCTCGATGCGGTCTTGTTCTTAAGTGGAACAGTGCTACAGGAAGGGCTTGGGGCCATGACAGGTAGGTCTCTTGGCAAAG